AGGTCCGGCACCCGCTCAGCTGAACGCGAAGGCCCGATCACAGCACCCCCCATGAACGCGTCGTAATCAAGGGGTTTACGAAACCGGAGGGGAACTAACATCTGAGAGCCAGGAGGAATGTGAATTGTGCACGCCGCCAACGCCTGCACCGTCGTAGATGCGGAGTGTAACCGAGTGGGTGTGGGTAGGAAGGCCATGCGTCGGCCGGAGGGGAGCTCAATACACCCTTTGTTAATGAGAATTTTAATGGGCATCTTCCCCAAGAAATCTGTTCCGAGGAGGCACGGAACGGCGAGGGTTGATGAGACCAAAATGGGCCCAACTAATTGGACGTCAGCAATGCGGATCTGAGCATTGATCCGTCCAGTGATGCCCAACGAACCCCCATTTGCGGCATAGCATGGCACATCAACTGGCTGCAAGGGACGGCATGTATCGGGCAAAATGTTATAAATTATGTCTGAAATGATGGTCGCCGACGCACCCGTATCGATCAACATACGAACATCAACGCCCTCGATGGAACCCACTACGGCAGAGGACCCTGCCGCAGCGGCAACGACCCTATGGGCCAACTCGGACCATTGACCCGGTCCGAGCGCCCGGTTGTTCAATGATGGGCCCGAATCCCCCTCCTCCGAAGCATGACCCCCCTGTGTGGTGTGAGGGTGCGTGCTTGTTGTAAGTGGGGGCCGAGAGTGCGAGGTGTCGTGACTCGCCTGGGTATGCCGAGGATAAGGGGGTGGCCGAGGCGCCGGAGGTCCTGAAGTCCGGCGTCGGGGGACCCGGCAGCCGGACGCCACATGGCCCCGAAGGCCACAGTTGTGGCAGACGATGGACGCTCCGTCCTGGCGCGAGGTTGGCCGGTCCCGCTGGTGGTGATCTCGCTGGGATCGCCAGTTGGACGATCCACGATTTTCTGTTGCTGCGAAGGCCTGATGAGGCCCCGAATGCACGTCATAGGCTTGTGCATCAGGTGGGCCTGCGCAGGCGGCGATGGTCGTGTCCTCATCGCAATGTAGGTGTGCTTGGATGCACCTGGCAGCACGTAGCGACGTGAAGTCGTCGTCGTCGTCGGCTGTCGGCATGGCAACTCGAAGCTGGCGGGCCAAGCTCATGAGCTTCTGCAGCACGAGTGACTCCACAGCGTCTTCATCTATGCGAGGGTAGGCAACCTTCGCCATGGCCAGCAGCGCGCTGCGGTACCCCATCGCTGACTCGGAGGCCTTCTTCCTCCTCGCATCGAAGCGGTGACGTGCTTCGGATGGGGGTCCATAAATCAGCCGCATCTGATGAAGGGCATCCGTGAGCGTGGCACGTTTCGCGCGTGGCACAGCAAGGAGTGCTGCGAGGGAGTCGTCGTCGAGCATGGCCGGGAGGCCCTGGAGCGCTTCATACTCCGACCAGCCGGACGTCTCTATAAGAGAGACGAACCGGCGTTCGAACGCTGCCCACTCACCCCCCTCTGAAGAAAATGCCTTGAGTGCTGGCAGGCGTTGCTGGACGTGAGCCAAGCTTCCGTTGCCTGGCAACCCGGCTGAAGCTGGCTGCGCGTTCTCAGCGCTCTCACTCTGCGGTTGCAAACAGCTGTCACCCGGCGGTGAGGGACGCAGCGCTGATGACGCGGCGTCATCGGGATGGCCCACGCTGGGCCCGGAAGTGACGCCGCTCCCAGCGGCCACTGCTCCCCCCGCAGAAGTGACGACACACGCGGATGTGTTTGTGTTGGAGCCGGCGGGATGGCGCGGTCGCTGCGCCGCCTCTCTCCCTCCTGCCTCCGCCTGTGAGCGACGCATGTCGTCCAGGATGGAGACGGTGGCGTGGAGCAGCTCGGTGAGGCGAAGCAGCGTTTCCTCCATTGCTGCTCCCGACGCTGGAGGAGGATCGGCAGGTGTGGTGGACGCCTGCTCAGCCGGCGGTGCGGCGTCGTTGTCGGCCCGAGTTGGCTGCCCCGTCGCCGCTTGCTCCTCAACATCGCCGTCAGGACTGAAGGTACGTGGCTTACTTCTTGTCTCCATTGCCACCTCTGACGCCAAATGTAACGGGTTCCGGAGACACTTGTAGATGTAACTTCTTTATTACAATACAACACTCCAACAGTCCTGATACTCTGTTACAGCCTAGGTACACAGCCTAGCTACACAGCCTAGATACTCTACTCTGGCTACGCTCTGGACTCGCCCTCACAAGGTCGTAGCGTCGGGAGTTCCAGAGTCCCAGCGCTGGCTCTCACAGCATCCCAGGGTCTTCAGATGGCTGGTCGTGGGTCTTGCGTCTTGAGTTACAACTGGGCCCCGATCGTCCAGGGAGCTCTCCTTTTATGCCTGGTCCGACGAGGGGTGGGTCTTGTGCGCCACCAGACATCCCACAGAGCACACACAGCCCCCCCCCCCCCCCCCCCCCCGTTGGCGGCGCCAAAAAGGCTTAAGCGCCTGGGAACCCAACGCCTGGCACCCAAAGGCTTAAAAGCGTCTGGACCCCCTGGGAACCCAGTGCCTGGCGCCCAGAGGCTTACGCGTCTGGACCCACCTGGGAACCCAGAGCCTACAGCAGCCCCTCCCTTCTTATGTCACTAGATCACTACCTTTCCTGTCATACCTCTTGCTATGCAATATCTCAAAAACTGCCTTCACAGCATGCAAGTATCCCAATCGTGCTTACTCAGAATCTCTTTCTTGGGTATTCATTACTGCAGCTGCCTTCGCTGTAGAGTCCCTAAATTAGAGCTGTAGCTAGGCAACGTGCCATCCTAGTACAAGAGACAAAAAAAATCCCCGTATAGCCTTAACAGACTGTTAGGACAAGTGCTGTTAGCGAGCACCTATGAAAGACGATATGGCACACGAGTCTCCTCAGTGGCAATGTTTTTACACACCACACCAGGTACTCATTTAAGTTTGAGTCGACCTAGAGGAGGCCCACGACTGGTTCAGATAATCGCCATAAGCGGAAATCAAAACTCGGGCGGCCGGGATCGGAGCACAATGCACTAACCCGTTACGCTACCACTCCCTATAGCACAACACTACAATAATTCATAATAAACGTTTTTGGGTTTGATCGCGTTGTTTATAAATGTGTCGTAACCCTCCACCACCCGACACGGCCAGCAAAAAAGTGTCACGTTGACAAAATACAAATAGTTCACTACTTTACATTATTTTGTCAACGTGACACTTTTTTGCTGATTGGCCGTGTCGGTTACAACACATTTATAAACAACGCGATCTAACCTAAAAACGTTTATTATGAATAATAATGGTCGCGAAAGTCTACGTGTTAAACTACAATAATTACCAACATTTTATCAGCATGTTCCTACCCATAACCACTAAAAGGAAATATTGTATAACAAGCACTAAATCGCTGTTCTTGCTTAGCATTCACCTGTGAATGCTTAATTCAATAGAAAAATAGGTTCATATTCGTTAACACGTGTATTATATTGTGGCACATTAGAAGTAGACCACTCTTTTAGTTATTTCCTTGTGCAGCAAGGGAGTAAAGTGTAGTTTTATGAAGGTCCTTATGTGCTGTGCAGTACATCAATGCACGTGTGTACACCAGCATGCAATAACTGTGTTGGGCCTGTGGGTGGCTGGCAGGGTTATTGATTAAGCGGACTTGTACACCAGTCACGTGGTTAATGGCGACTCGGTTGAGGATTGCTGTGTGTGGCACACGTGCTGTTGCATCTTACAGATCAAACACAATAAATGTGTTTGCCCTCGACTTGCAGCACCTGCCCACATCCTTCATTTCGAGTGTGCAACACTATTATAAATGCATGCCATTGAGTTGCTTAACTGCGTAAGTCATCCCTCAATTTGAAATAATCATAATACAATTTGCGTCTCTTTGTCAATCCACTGCTGGATGAAAGCCATCCCCACGCTGAGTCAGTTATGGGGGTTTTATGACCACACTTCAGTACTCTCGTCAGGGCATACTGGGGAATGGGGGGTGCAGAAGCGTTTCAGATACTACTCGTCGACCGCGTCACCATGGCCGGAAATCTAATCGAGGTCACTGGGTTCGTAGTGCACTACACAAACTAAATGGGCCACCGTCTCACAGACCCCCCCTCCCTTGGTTTTTACGTGTTCAAAAATGCAATTGCAATTTTTCGGAACTGGTGTAATTGTCCTTTTTAGAAATTTTCGTCAGGAAATTTTAATTAGATTTCTCTGTGTGAATTCACAAAAAAATATCCCACCCATATGCTTTGACGGGAACAAATTAATCCAAAAAACCAGCTTGCATCACAACGTGCAATCATTTCTTACCATTTGGATAATTTGATTTCCAAAAGCTTGGCCAAATGGTGAGTGTTGAAAAATATATTAAAAATAATGTACTGCCCTTTTATAATCCACTGCTCAATTAAAGCTTTCCCATGTCATGTCAGTTCTCTGTATTCAACACACTGGTCAGTGCAGGAAATAAGTTCAACATACGTGCAATACAGGTTAGGACCAATTCAGATATCACTCACCACTGATTTTCAGGAACTGAACACAGTTCACCGGGTTCATAATATAGTTTGCTAACTGCTGCACCACCCCTCTCCACTTTGCATATTACAATACTCCGTGAAAATTTTCTTGTTCGCTCTTCATAGATTTCCAAGCAGTCTTGGCTCTATTTTTGTTCAATTCAAACTGCATTATTGGTTGAAACCCAATTGCTATCGGGGTAATAAGGATAGAGGTACATTTGGAAATATTCTAGTCTTCATCAGATTTCATCCATTAAAAACAGCGTACTTTTGATTTCAAAGAAGCATCTGCAATCTGGTAACTATCTGTGGCCCTTTTACACAGTTTGTAGACAAAAGGATGCAGGTAAATGGTGTTCATTTCCACAGTTTAGTGTACTGTGTATATATTGTTGATATTCAGTTAAACATATACATTGTTCTCTATTTATATTTTATTGGCAAAATACTGAAACACATTTTACTGCGAGGAGGCCTGACGATTACATCTAGATACCGATTTGGAAAATCTTGACTGGTGTACAATAAAGTAAATCAACTATAACATGTTGTTGTCCTCAATCGCGTGTGCAATGAAGTGAGTAAGCATCCATCTGTTTTTTTTCTCTTCTGGAGAACTGCTGAGGAAAACATAAAATAACACATTATAATTGGGGGGGGGGGGGGGGGGATCACACAAGTGCTTCTTGGGAGTAAGTATGGCCTAACTGATATTATATATCATGAGCTTTCCCACACAAGTAAATTATAGATATGTTTTGTCTGTAATGAGAGGCGCTTAGTTTTAATGATAATCGAGGCAGTTGTATTGCGAGCACTCAATACCATTCTAAGATTGTGTGTCCTCCTTGGACATGTCAACAATTTACGTATTAAAAATAAAACCCATACGTCGTACAGTGTTTATTTCCATCATCTCTGCAGATTTCAACTGTGGGTTGTCTGCAAAAGTGTCCAGTTTAGCAGTGTCTGGGCACAAATTCTCTGGCCCAATGGCCCTGAGTTTTGCTCATATGGGAAAAAAGCTAAATACTGCTTTTTTGTTGCTGTGTTAGATCTGGTATGCACATTACAGTAGCCATGGGCAGTAAATCATTTTATAGCGATTTTGCAACAACAGAAAAAGAGAGAGTGAACATGCACATTTAGTGAAAAAAAAAGCAACTCATAAATTACGGTTTTACTTTGTCAGATTCACGAGAATGAATACGCTAAATACCATTGTAAATGTACATGTGCACCACGTTTGCTTTTACAATTGTTTTCATCAATTGTTCATACAAAAAAATATATATTTAAAAAATCTATTTTAGAAACGTAATGTTGTTTCCATTGCAGGCGTAACACTTTTTCTCACTGACGCCGAGGTTAAATAACGTATGATGTACAGTACACTTTCAAGACCTAAAAACAGTGGAGAGGTGGTGACCGGCTTAGCTCAGGAGTTTGAGCACTGCCACTTGCTCAGAACCTGGGTTCGAATCCATGCACCAGCTGCTCGTGATTTCACGAAGTTTAGCGACTTAATGGCCTTATCCCAAGCAACCATTACCGCACGGAAAACACCCGCAATCATATTCAATTTGACCCACCCCTTAATTTGGCTTCATGCTCCGAGAGTTAACCATAGAGTTGGCTTGAGTGTCACGAAACGCACTTTGCCGGCTACTAGATGTTGTGACCCCTGGTGTGCATAAAGAAGCTGACCGAAGAGAGGTTTTGGCTCTCTGACGTCATCTTTCGGGGCTATTCTCTGACACGAGGCGATGCAATACTCGCTGTCAGTGTTCCAATCGCGATGTTCTTCATTTCATCGCATCACGCCACAGCATGAGTGTAACCTAAATGGGGTTAAAAAAACAGCAAGCATAAAATTAATCGGGTTGGCATACTATAAACAGTGCCATTAATGTAACCCATACGACTTGCGAAATGAATTGAACACGCATTACACAGTGAAGTATATAACATTTTGTTAATTGTGCGTTGGTAAATCTGAAATGACAAACATTTCACTGTATGCCACCACAGTGACGTAAAAGCACACAGCTGCAAATGGGGAGGAAGAGTGAATGGAAAATGAGCAGGGGGGGGGGGGGGGTGGTGATTGCAATGGACTGAGAGAGGGTGGGCAAGGGGATGTGTCTGGGTGGGCCACCAAACGACTGCGGTCTAACTGGAAACGCAAGCGGGAGACACGGGGAAGTAATTGAACAAGTAGGAAATGCTTGTTTGTTTGGATGTGGCAACGATGAAACCGTGATTAGACTCGTCGGTCATGTATATTTGTAGCGCATTTGCAAGCTCGAGAGAGGGTTAAAGAGCGGTGCGTTGTCGTGGGGTTTCGTCCACCAGGTGATTCTTGCCTTTGATTGAACACGCATAATCGGAACAATCCCAGAAGGGTTTGTAAAAGCATTCCTTTTCTGGCTGAGCCAGCTGCAGCCCTGTTTGCTTAAAGGGATTTCCATATTCAACGATAAAAACACTTCAGGGAAAACAAAGTATTGCAACATGCAGATGAATAGCCAGTGTTGAGCCAAAACAATATGGGAAACGAAACATAAAGGGAACTGCATTGGTAGTGGTGTACAATATCTCTCTACCTAAGGAATTTACTTTAGGCAGCAAAACTGAAACAATTATTCTTTCATGCGTGTGAACTTTGTCCTGAACAAGTTACCCCACACTGACTCAATAACACCGCAGGCTACGTGGAATACACGTAGCAAAAGTCACACAATACCCCACATGGGAAACACATCAATTCATACTCAAGCAATTCTTATGTCAAGATGTGTTTCCCTCCCCCAACTCGATCCTTATTGTGATGTTGGCATCGCGGACTGAGCAGTGGTTTGTGATCGAGAATGGTCATGGAAGCAGATACCACACATCTACCTGTGAGATCACTTCTAGTGATTTTTGTTCCACGGAAAAAACTCAAAACATTCGTCAGTAACACTACCTTAAAATAAAAAAAAGTCAAAATATGTGACATTTCAGACTTTGGCCCTTCTTCACAGAGTAGGTGGCAGCACATTCTCCCTGCAGAGAACATTATTTTCGCATAACAATTTAATCAATATGTAAAGATTCCAGAGCTGGGATTTAGACAAATTAAATACCGAACCAAATGTAATGTGATTGGGTTTTTTGTACAACCATGCTGAGGCTATCATCTCAATACACTTCAGAATTAAATTGAACGGCAGGCTGCTGCCTGAATTCAAACCTACGAAATCTCAGGGGTGCCAGCTCAGTGCTCTGACCTCGGAGCCACTTGCTACTTCCTAAAAGCTGAAATATAATGACAGCAATTTTCATTCCTTTTACATCTCTACATGCTCTAGCTTAAAACAAACAATATATGTATGCTGAACTTATTTGCATCATACGTAGCCAACCGTGCTAATCGGAGGTGCGAATATATATTAAAAAAAACATGTATGTTTAATATACACTGGAGTTCTGCTGAGGTTACGAATAAATGCCTCATCGAGGACTCCGCCACTGATTTGAACTGCCAAGAAAACTGTGGCGTTCTTCGAACTGCTTCGGAAAAGCGACTGGTCGCTGTTGACACGTCTGGAACATTTACAGATGACCTCCGGTGTAACTACGGCCGCCCAAACCAAGCGATGGACCATTTCGTGAACGACTCCATTCTACGCCCTGGAGAGTATTAGTTGCGCTACTCCAGAAGCTATTATTACATTGCACCAGATGCTATAATACATCTTTTATAATAGTTGTAATGTTTACATTAACGTTGAAATTATCTTTGTGGATACTGTTATGCTATTGAAAAGGTGCAACATATGACAAAAAAACACTGTCGGTACAATAGATGCATATGCCATCGAAGTGAATTGTTAACATTTGTGTGTGGATCCTTTTTCATTATCATTATCAGCCATAATCAATACACTGATTGATGGAAACCTCCCGAAGCTATCATATTCCTTCCTACACATCTCACCGCCCCATCTCCGTGTGTACATTCTCTCGGGCACGCTCCATCCTTTGGATGTCACTCCATCATTAGTCTCAACCACCAGCCATCATCCATGCTCGCTACATGTCCTGCCCAAGCACACTTAATATTTCTCAACTGTCGATATGACGTCTATAACTTTTGATTGTTCTGTAATTCTGTGTTCTCTTTGTGTCTCAGTGTAATCCCAAGCATGCATCTCTCCAAGTAAAACTTAAACACGGCACTGCATAAATGCACACACACTATCGTAATGAGCACTGGAAATGCAGTACTTTTCTTGTGATTGTGACAGTTTGATTTTGACACACTGTGAGTCCTGCATCATGAACAGTCATGCACATCATGAACAGACGCAACAGCTCTACACTGCCCTCTATTGGCAGCGTCAAGGAAAAAAGCTCGGATTTAAAGGCAACTCTCAGGCGCTAACTGCCACCTACCGTTTTGTTTGAAAATGTCTAACATTGCTTGATAAAGCAGTGGTTCCCAACATTTCCGAACCCACGGACCACCATGCACCAAGAACATATTTTTTTAAATTGAACACGACTCTCATGATAATTCCGATTACGACCCCCACTTATGTCCGTCCGATCATCAAGACTATTCCGCTCGATTTGGGTAAAATAATTATAATGATACCTCGAGCGTTTACAGTGTCATGAGGAGTGGTATTGAGCACTTAAAATATTTGAGAACAATTTTCAACAAATCATTCCAAAACCTTGAAATTGATTTTTAAATGCCTCGATGTAATAATTTCTCAGTCAAATTGAGTGTACAATGAAATGTCAAAGCATGACACACAACAAAACTTACATGTCAGAACGATACGCAGCATAAAACACATTTATATTTCACATTTATATTTCACCTATGTGTGCACAATACGTACACTGATGCTATGCGTAATTCGAATGCAGTCATGGTGGTAAGGGGGAGCTGCAGCAAGGTGGTTGGATAACTGCACTGTCAAACCAATGACCTAAGTTTGAGTCTCAAGCCACAGCTAACATCAATTTGAAGTAACATCCGGAACGGTTCCAACTCGTGCTGATAAGGGTAGCGAAGTATGGTCAAACAGCCCCCATGGCAGACACAGACGGGCCTTCATCCAGTAGTGTATATATATTGTTTATGGAGTTAAATGTTAGAATAAATGGAGATGTTGTCACCCTGGTCTTCTACATTTAAATGATGTGTATATGTATATGTTCCTCCAGCGAGTGTAAACTTGTCATTTTGCTACTTGGATGATAATGCTAATAGGGTATGAATGCACATTAATTGCCCGTAGCATCTCTAAGTAATGTTCTGCATTCCCGACTCGCATGCCAACCTGGTTAAGTGTAAACATATTAAATGCACAATCATGACGCCTCATCTCAATGCTTTAAAATCGTGTTCTTTCAGATGTGTAGTAGAATACTACATTACAAAGAGCAAAGTGTGCAGGTTGGTTCCATCAATGAGTTAAGCCACGGGAGGGAGAGAGAAGAGATCTGCCTTCCTGGTGCTTCACACGTCCCTTGAACACGGTATTTATAGCCACCTTGACGCAGGGCTGTCTTGTAGCTGTCCTACCTCAATTCTACGTGCAGTATTATATGCATTAAATACGAATGTACATGTGTAATAAGGTGTTTAATATATAAAAATATTGTCGACGTTACATGTTTAAAGGGACATAACTATGCTCCTTGTCGTATGTATATTGTATAACCGTTAAGCGAATGTGATTGTTAAAATACAGTGCGTTGTGTATGGTTATGTGTACATTATGGTGCTACTCAACATTTAGGTTTGCTATTGTTGAGGCCACACATGGTTTTATTCCTTGGCCCATTAAAATGAAGCACTGCGAGTTTAAAGAAAATCCCTCAATACTTATCGGTTGCTCAATGGAGTTGAAAATGCATTACAGTCAATAGATATAGCATAGGCATAGATGCATCGAAGAAGAGCTGCCAGTACATATTGACAGCTTTTAATGGCATTCTCAGCATTTGACTTTTACACAAAAAGTAACACATTGAGAGAGGGTGTCATCCAAGAAAAATGAAACTTTTCCATGTGCATTTTGAGTGGTGCCCTAGTGTACATGTACAGCCCATATTTCTCAATCCACTGCTGGATGACGGCCTCCCCACACTTTGCGTGAGGGATATTTGACCATATTTCACCGCGTTGGCCAATGCGGGTTTGTGAAGTTGTGGGGCGCGCAGAACAATGCATTTTGCTGCACCGCCCTCTACTGCCCACAACGCCTACCACATCTGTCTTTTTTCCGCACGGTGGTCACAAGCACCATCCAGGTTCACTACTGCTTAGCTTCTGAGTTGTGGTTAGAATGGGTGCATTCTGAATGATTTGGTCATTGGCTTACATGTGTACAATATTTTTCACTCATTTTTGTTTTGCGGTCAATCGATGTTAATTCCGTGGTGCGATTATCTCCCTCGCATTAGGGTTCGATACCGACCCTGACACCTGTATCTTGTGTATTTGGAATTCGTGTTTTCTCCTCATGGTCACGTGGATTGTCTCCGGGTCCTCTGGTTTTACCATCCACATGAGTTTAGTTATTTTACATTACTATAAATTCCCATATACCTGTATACCGGGAAGTCACCATTACGTGTGGCCAGGTCGCCTCTGAAAAAGCTCATAACTCAGTGGATGTTACCGAATAACAAAACAATCTACTTTGATTGCTGGCAATAGGGGATGAACATATTTTGGTTGTCTACCCCAGAAATGTTATCCACAATTTGAGAACAGAAAGTTCATCACCCATGTGCAATTCTCTCAAATGCAACACCACAACCGCCCGTTGACACCAACATGAAAGATAAAAAAAGACTCCCATGCGAGTCCGAGTTAAATATAAAAAAAGCAATCTATACTTTTATTTTCAAACATTAAAATACACTTACAGTATTTAACTCATCGTTGCTTTTCTTTCTTAAACAATACACATTAATAGTTATGATTTACTTTTTACAGTTAACTCTCGATTATCCATTGGCATATTATCCAGTGTGCACAATAATCGTGCTTGAGAACAAACACGTGTCAGCATATTATGTTGGCAAGTAAACAGCAAAGATATGGGCAAGTAAACATTACTTTAAAAACAATAAATTCAGGCGATATATTCTCTGTCTTCACCCTATTCTGTGTAAGAAATACGTGTGTTTTTGGACCCTAATTACATGCTTTGCATTTCCTAATTTTTTTGTTTTATCGAGACTACCCCTCCCCCATTACCCCAAATATTCGAGAGATGATTGTATGGTACTTTCATAATGGCAGGTCGTGCTGTCACCAGGATGGTAGAGTTATTTATCTATTTATTCTAAGTGTGACTGCAAAAGCAATTTTACCAATGACACTAATATTAGATTATGAAGCAGTCTACCACAAGACACACGTTATAATCCCATTCTCGCGAACATCACTCTTGAATCTGCTGCTATTGTTTCTGTGTTGATAGCGGCATACCAATAGGGAAAAATGCAATGTCCAGCGGGAAATTGGGAACTTTTTCTTTATCCTTTAGCTCATAATGTATTCCAGGCATGAGCTTCAACTAACAGCCACTGAACCCAGAGGGCGTTACAGGAAACGAGGCTAACCTTGCCCCGGTTTGAAACCTTGAATTAGGCAGTTACTTAGATGATTTGCCGTTACTGTTTATCTGCAGTTGTACTGAATAAAACGCATCTAGTTTCCACAAAGTATAAACTTTCTATAGAATAGCGATGTTGAGTAAGGCATTATGGCGTTTGTGAGGGTTACAGTTGCGTTTCTCGGCAATACAATACAGTATTTTCAACGATAGCAAACTAACACAAAACATCTAATTAATGTCTAAGTAACGTAAAAAAATATCAACGTTTACATTTAGTAAATTCTTGTACATTGTAATGAGTAATAAGTGAAACACATTTTTAAATGATCCATTCAATGTCACCTGGTTAAAATGAGGTGGCAAGATGGCGTATGAGCAGTAATGCCGACGTCAACGTTCTGACATTGAAGGTCAACACCGGTGTGATCCTGTGCTCGTTAAAGTAAGAGACGGATAGGGGAATGTTTTTTGGTTGCTGGTATGAAAAGGTTATTGTGTGCATGCAGTTACATTCCCTTACCTTTAAAACATGGCGAGTGCATTTACTAAGATTAAAACAATACTTTTTTTGCCGATAATGTATATGAATGAATGAATATATATGAATGAATCTTTGAATAAATATTTGTACATTTTTGTAACGTTGGTCATAACAAGATTAATTAATATTTGTTACAATTTTACACAATATGATTACGTAGTATTCTGAAATGGAAATGCCTCCAGAATGCAGCAGTCTCAAAAGAATATACTAAGTATGTAAATAAAAAATGCTTCTGTCGAAATAACTGTTATTAAATTGCATGCGTTTAAGCCAAACGATGTAATGAAAGCGTTTGAGACGTGCTCACTATAAGACAGTGCATTCTCCACTGGGTGCTGATGCGTATAAACACTTACTTTCTTGCGGGCTTCCAAACATCAGCTTTAGAGCTTCAATCTGCGTGCCATAAGGAAGGCTCACATTAACTTCATCTCCCTTGACGTCAACGTACCCATGGAAACCACCTTACATTTATCTGCTGCACGCACCCTATAGGGGAGTGACCAATACCTGATCTCGAGATCGAACCCCTCCCCACCTTAGAACAAAACACAACCGACCATTTCACGGGCAATTGTGGCAGTAATCATGGTTATGAAAATGTAATTATGGCTTGGGCCCTAAACAATGACTGAACATCCCAAGAAAAGTATCTAACGGTGCTAATTCAGGGGCAAGGAATCTGAATGTAGCCATATCAAAGACGTTCAACGGTTTCAACCACAATCCAACATTGGCCCAACGGTGCGTGTTCACTGTGATAGGATAATATAATGGCAGAGTATCTCTAAACATGTATAATTTATGCAGCTCGTGTGAGCAACATGTGTTGTGTTGCTGCCAAGGTCAATGAAAGGTTTTAAGACCCTGCTGTGAGTCAGCATCTGGTTCACTATGTGAACCAATGCTCGAAACCTATATGTGACTTACATTTGAGTCGCAGAAGGATTATTTGTACCAAATAAACACACCAGCTGAGGCCAGCCTGATGTTTCTATGAACATTTATTTGCGGCATTTGTTTTCAGTCGGCTCCTGTGCAGTATTTGATATTGCTTGGAGGGACCACAATAAAATCTTTGAGTTTTTTCGTGTTTTCGTTTTTACGTAGAACTTTGTTGGATATACTTTATATGATTTATAGCGATGTCTGGCTTTATGAAATCTCATAAAATAGCGGCTACAAATGTTTTTGCTATAAACCACATGGAGAATGATTCTTCTTCTTGGTTCTTTTGGTAAAGTCACGTAGAAGGGAAGTAATAAAATAATAGCATCTGACGCTGTCGCCTCGACAGACCTGGTTTTCACCTGAGGACGGCTGCTTGCGTTGTGGCCAAAACGTCCTGAGAATTATTTTATTATGTTTTATTTTTATTATTTTATTACTTCCCTTCTACGTGACTTTACCGAAAGAACCAAGAAGATGAATCCCTGCAGTCACGAAAGCTTTAAATCGAAGAATGATTATTGTATACACGTATTGGAGTGGTTCCTAACCTGTGCTATGCATACCCCTGGGGGTACGCGTTACATCGCTAGGGTGAACGCAGAACGTATCACGTGATTGTGGTGGTCACGTGAGGTATGGTCAGGCGGGGTAGCTCTGTTATCTTTCATCACAATCGTTTTGCATGTATTTTACAAATGCCTAAAATATATGATTTAAGCCCATCAAAAAATGTCTCCTTTGCTTTCACGGTAACTCAGCTTAAACTGTACAGTATTATGTTTTTATTAGTAATTAACATTTAAATGTAAATTTTCTAATATTTAGTTGATTGTTATTAATTCTAAATTTGAAGTTTTCGTGACTGCAAGGATCCATACTCTTTGGTTCTTTCGGTAAAGTCACGTAGGTGAATTTTTTGTTTGTTATTAAGTTAAATGTCTTAGGTGTTAATTACATGTAAATGCTATAACAATGTAATTTGCTAACTTGGACCATTTACAGTACAGTATTTGCTGTTAGGAATGGATAGGTGTGGTAGGGGTACATGACAAGAAAGAAGTTGGCATATTGCATCTGTGGATCCATGTTTTGGCAGGTCATTTGTACCATGTACTCATACGTTTTAATAACCACAAGACACGGTCTAAACGAAACTTTACATGTCATGTTCGCATGATTACATTATTATTGCCAGAGAGTTAGAAACTAGTTTAGTTGCAGATTGATGAAGGCCAGGACCAGTTCAGATAATACATTAATCTCAATTGTAGCTGGGTAGAAATAGAATGCAGGTCACCGGGTGCATAGCCCAGTGCATGAGCTACTGTGCCATTGCTCAAGCCAAACTATACAATGGATATTAACTAGGGATGTTTTTAGATGAAAATATTTCAGATCTTTCGATTTGAAAAGACAATTTTGGATATGTTGGGGGGGATTTTCGTATCATTTACACTATGTAATCATTTTACCTGTCTTCATGTTAACGAAAATTATTTCACACAATACCACGACACCAAAATTCGCAGAAAAAGCATGGAACTGATGCAATACAAGTAATGTTGATCCATGGCATCTCATGCTTTCTGATCAACGCGAAATAAAAACATGTTTTACGGTTCATCCGAAATTTGGAATTTAAGCCAGATATTACAATAGTTCAGGTTAATGCAACAATTGGGAACACTTCCTGTGTTTCAACAGATCCATGTACAAACATATCCTAGGGAATCGATCGTGTTTTTGGGGGATTTTAACATAAAACTTTCACATTTGATTAAATTAAGTACATTTTTCGACAATGATTTAACAGGCTCCAAAAATGTGAAGATATTTGTGCGGTAAATTAAAAGCGTTGTTCAATAGAATGGAGTCCTTCTGAGTTCATAATAACAAATTACCGACGCAGTTTTTTTTTCTACCTCACAATATTTCAATATTTCATTAAACGCAAAGCACATTTGAAAATTGTTACTGACAAAAAGGGGTATGTTGTGTGGCGGACTGCCAGACATTTACAAAGGGGACCCCTATGGCGGGACCTCTGGTTGGGGATCAGATGTTTTAAATCTTCCCCCGTCTTTATTAAAAGAAAAAAAATGTCATACCTAGCGAGAAGGTATTCATTGTGGTAGGTGAGGCATGAATATAACGAGTGGAGATGACCTCAAAAGGCTGTGAATCGTGAAGTGCAGCCAGCGATTCTAATCACTAATCACGCACAAGACTCGCGTCAGGCAGCTGGTTCAGTGATAAAATACAGTATAGAACTACAACACAGGTTTGCTAAGCAATTTGTGTGTGAACCACCCACCAGAGCCGCAACCTTTCTCACCCCACCACTAACATCCATTTATTCCTTTATTACCCATCACCCTTCGCCCTCTCCCCACCTCCACATCCCACGTTCTCAACCTGAAATCTTTTCTTTGGTGGGTCCATATATGGCTGTCTTTTCAAATGTAATATTTTATCGTTCTTTTGGCAGTTGCTTTTGAGGTTGGTGAGCCAGTTGATGGATATGGGAATGATGTTGCGAATGTCTGAGATGTAATAATGACAGCCAAATATAATAATCACACGTTACAATTCACTCTTGAAATATGTCATGCCCTACAGTTAAAAGTCAGGTTTATTTTTTGCGAAATTCACGGCCAATGTTAGGGAATTAAATAGACTCAATTAATGGTCACAATATACAGATATATAGGCACTACAAACGGAATAAAAACTGTTAAAATAAATTATTTGTATAAAAAAATTATACCAGGTGGATAATTCAAGTCATTTCATGAACAAAACATGGCATGTTCAATTGATTTTGATGGGAACAGATTCAAAATAATTCAAAGATGGGACGCCCGGTTTGACACAGAGCTCCCAGCCCCACGGCCTCGGCGCTGCTGGCACCGTCTTCCAGTGCACGATGCACGTGATGTTGTTTGTTTAAAGACATCGAGGATGCGCCCCATCGAGTGGGGTTCAAATTCACGATTCCTTGACCACACCTCCGTAACAAAAATCGTTGCCTTACCCTAAGGTTGTCAGAGCGGGCTCCGGCTCCAGCTGATGTACTTTGATTTTCAACCACAAAGGGGCGCTAACATACCTTGGAGTGTATCTGGGAATGGCAGCTGAAATGTTTGAGAAACGGTACGGAGACATGCACGCTTTGTGAATAAATCACTATTACTCACCTCTATATCGGCACCGGTGGAAATAATCAGATGTAATAACGGTTAAAAGAATAGGTTAATTCAAAATACACCAGAGGTTAAAGAAAGCCAGTTGACCAACACTTCGAAACCTTCTTTTCCTAAAACCAAAACTTATTATTTTAAATGAATCTGTTACTTTATTTAAAAGCTCACTGAAGCAGCAACTTTATAATATTCGGCATTGTTTAATCAAGGTATGCACATTACAAATTGCATATTTTTTCAAACTTATGTTTGTCCACACATGCTCATGAATGTGCCAATTAAGTTGACAAGTCCTACACGTGATGTGATCATTTGCCTTCACAGCGTTGCGAATGTACGTATCCTGCACGCGAGCGAAACTTGACTTGGCTGAGTTCAGAAATTTAATCCACGTACATACCACCATTTAACATCTGTCAATACGCGATCCACTCAAGGTACGCATTTGTACAATGACTACATTCCGAGTTTAATCTCTGGGTAATCCTACTCAGAAGGTGATTTTGCTTGGGTTTCAACCTGTCATTGTATTTGTGTGCGCTGAATACAGTCTGGAGCCTTTAATTGAGTCTTGAATTGGACACAGTATAATTGCAGACAAAATGCAGCCATCAAACCTAAGGGGAATTAAAGAGCTGCTCACATTTTTTTCTCATAATTCACAAACTGCTATCAAGCAAAGGTGGCCAGCTGAAACCTACACGGCGTGCGCATGAGATGGAGAAATGTGAAGCTGATTGCAGCAATGGAAAATACAATATAAACATGTTATAATGATTCCATCACTGGTGTTAGCATTTTTAAGTAGTGTACTTTATTTTGTACAATTATTTAAATACTAGTTTTACATTTTCACATGGCACAGCATGTGTATGTGTGTGTGTGTTTTAAATATTACATCTTGTTTGAAATGTATTCACAACATGTTTTCCTAAGTTCCTCACACCTCTCTCCTTGAAAGTGAGTGAATAATGTGCAGCGTGCTACATGTTGAACTTATGAGTTCATGGGGCATGAAAAAAAATAGTTGGAGATGAGATGAGATGGTGAAAAGGCGCAATCAATACATCAAGTGTATTAATAATAATAATTCGATTTATAACGCGTGCAAATTTGCGGACGTAACGGCCGCAACTCAGAGGCGAAGAAGCCAAGCTCAGAGTCACTCGAAAGCACGTGGCTGTAGAGGTGAGTTTTTAAGTCTCTCTTGAAGGAGGCGATTGAGGTGATGCTACGAATGTGCAGAGGGATATCGTTCCAGACTGTTGGGGCTGCCACGACCCTGCATTGTTATGTATTTAACAATGCAAATACATTT